CCGGTCGATGATTCGCTGATGTGGCGGATCCTTGTAAACAATCTATCCGATGGATTAAATTTGATCTTTTCTAGTTTCTTCGGAAGAAGTGACTCAGATCCATGGTGCTACCGTTCGAGCGAAGTGCACGGTTGGATGTTATGACGTACTGCACCTAGTTCATACTTGTTGCTTATTCTTTGAACCTAGGATGTGCTCATAGTTTAAAGCACATAGACAGATACCGGGTTTACACTTCAGTGGTGCATTTGCAACCACTTGTCACCACGCATCTCAGTGCAGCCTGTCGTGCAGTTTTCGCGCAGCGGGTCTCATAGGTCAAACAGAATGAGGGCAGTTAATGAGCACAGGGATGTTGCTGATTGTTGGCTGAAGTATTGGTGTAGTAGTCTAGCTGATGCGTTGAGAATTTTATGTGCACATCGACAGATTTAAGGACAACCAAAGTAGGACAGCAGTACCTTTTACTGCGGTTTATTATGGGAACTAGTGCAAGTGTAACTGTTGATTGTTCAGGACACCAAGGTCGGTCGTAGCCACCGCTTGCCGCGTGGTTGAACAGTCCGAGTGTGGTGTAATCTCTCGCTTGTGGACACTTCACATCCGGCGTCTGAATACAGCCTTTGCAAAGCTAAATAACATGAGTGGGGATAAGTGCAAAATGGTCGAAATTTGAGATAGCTGTTCCCCTGGACGGCCTCCCTGATTTTATTAAACATGCGATTCGCCATAATCACCACGTTTTTACGTGTATCGTGTCGGCCGTACACACCTACATCTTTGAGCAGACTGTACATGTCTATCATGCTCATTCCATACGAATCTGTCGCCCGTATTCCAGTATCCCACAGTATGCAACAATAACTGGAACGCAGCCAATGAACTCATGGTCACACATCCTTTCGCTTTCTGTTTCACATATTTTGTGGCAAAGGCGCTCCGCTTAGCTGATGCATCTGTTCTCTAACCGGCTGAGTAGATAGTTCCGGAACCTGAGAATAAATATTTCAAACTAGATACAACGCGCTTATGATTTCCCCACCCTTTTCTTACCTGAAGTATATCCACTGGTATGAGCTCACTTGAGGCAGCACGGTTAATTAATTGTTAAAGCGAGTTACGCTCACGATAAAGTGACACTAGTTAACTAACTGGCTGGTGAACAACTTATTGAAATGAAAAGAATCAACAGGATACAGACGTCTTATTCTGCTCCAACAAGCCTTAATAGGACAACAAATAATGAAACTGAATTCTGTACTGACAGCATTATGTTTGCCACTAGGACTGTGAAGATTCACCCAAACACACCAGCACTTCAGCTACCTACAGGTTGAAGGTTATCGGCACTGTCAAAGGTTTCGTAGGAACAAGTTGTGGCACAAAATTCAGGTTTATTTGAGTATTAATGGGGGCTTCGCCTGGCAAGCGTTCTCCCTAATAAAAAGCCACATATGTCTGTTTAACAACACTGTGACGTGGCGGACGTGACTCGCCACTAAATAAAGTCACTGCCCCTTGCTTCATCCTGGCGAAGCATTGTATTCCAGCAAGTTGATGCTGTAATTTCGGGGAGCATTGGGCCCCTGTTTGGCAAAGGAACAAACGAAAGGCGTATGAACTGATCAATCAGTCACCGGCTCCCAATGGGCGCGATTCCCTGAATTCGCTCCGCTGCCTTGTGGACAGGCTATTCAGCCAAAGGCTCGGGGTGGTGTCCCCTAAGTCAACACCCTACTTCGGCTTGGGCAACCGGGTAGTATTTCGCCCTCTGACGAAACCGTGGACATTGTTGTGTTGTGTTTTCCTTTACTATTTCTGTACCTTGTTTTGAGTTCCATGGTTTCCGATGGTGCAATGTCTATTCATAGACTTGCAAATATATATATATATATATGTATATATATTAATGGGGGCTTGATCGGATAGTTTCGGTAGACTTTAGCCACCCACGAGACGTGACACTTTGTTTGCCACTACTATAGACAAACGGCAGCAATGCCAGGGGGAATAATTAGTGTTTACGAGTCACCAATATCAGCGTCGCTAATCACCGCCTACTCAAGGAGGGTGGTGAGGGTACGTAGAGCGGCCTTCAGTACACGCCTATATCATCACTAAGACGTCCGCGGTAAACCTCCTAAAATGGCATAATGACCGAAGGCTTAAAACAGATCGAAACCACTGTTATGACAATCTCGAGTCCGTTTGGGGCCGTAAACAATCTAGTGGATACATTGAGCTGTGTCTTCCTTCATCAACTGGACTGCGTACTACTTACTTCCTCAAATATACGTTGGAGTCGTTACACATTGATGAGAGAATCAGAGAATAACGCCCAGTGAGCTGTCAGACAACAAAATTCGCAACATTAGCTCCGAGGTCCCAAGATCCCGATGATTACCAAGCCAAATCGCAAAATAGAATCTATGTTACGCTTGCCAGATAAGCGCGCGCTCCGGGTTATTACCGAAGTAATGGCATCCTGGCACTAGTCGGTTTTTGTGTCAAGAAAGTTTACGATGAACCATCGAGTCCACTGCACGACCCGGGGCGGGTCGCATGCCCGAAACCTAGTGACATTTGGTCGGCAGGAAATCCTGTCTCGAACTGTGAGTACGGATGATAGACGGTCAGCCACGTGGCACCGAACAGATACCCGAGGCAGGTAAAATGAACAGTGCAACGGATGAATCTATGTGAGCTGAAGAGACTACAGGGTAGATATACTTTCCAGTAGAACACCGCCATTGTGTCAGAAGGCGAAATATCTACACGACCTTAGAATCTAGTGTCAGATCAGTTACTTCCTACCCCCACAAAATATTAACAACGGACCACTTGACGCCTAGACAGTATAAGGTCGGCGCCTAGGGAAATACTTTATCGAGGCGTTTAAAGTTATCTACTATTCACTGTGTTACCAGGACGAGGAGAATTAGTCTAGCCCAAGTATATCCTATTTTAGTCGGTTTTATCGGGACAACATGCCAGATCTATCCAGCTGAAAGAATCCTGGGAGACATATAAATAGAATAATACGAAGCAGAATATAACAACTGAGCATAATGACTGTAATTGATTCGGCCGATATGAGTTATAACCGACCACTAAATAAACCAATCACTATGAGCGGGATACGAATATATACGTCCATAGACAATGGACCGTGTCATGACGCGTGGTTTCGCCGAAATCACTATACACTACAGGTCGACTAGGATAAAGTGTCGGGATCCCAGATACTGTATAAGTACTCACTCCATAGATGAAAACTGTTGTTAGTACACTAACAATTTTATTCAAAATTCAGAACGACCCACTGCATATGAGGATGCGTTAGGAAAACGACACGTAGGCTGCGACTAGTGTGCATGCAGCTGTCATTCGGGTTCCGGAAATCGGCAACCATGCGTCATCATGGGTTACAATCTGTTAAAAATTAACTAGCTGCCACATAGTTTTGATCTTTCACGGTTCCGCGCACCTATCTAGCCTGCAAATTCAAACAAGTGCTGTTGGCCAACCCGCTGAGTTCGTGATTGTGGTCGGCCTACCTTATTTGCATGAAAGACAGTCAATCCTCATGGACGCTACTGTAGTCTAACCTACTTGAGAGTAAATTTTTGAAACATAGACTACAGGCAAGAACACTAGACGTCTTTTCTTATCACTAGCCGTTTTTAGAATCAGATAATATGTGAGATGAAAATAATGGCGACACTTTGTATCACTAATGTGTGCAGCTCTGGAGCAGTCGGTCGCTTGGTTTGTAGACCACTACAGTAGGTGTTTCGCAGTTGTTCTATTCAGTTTCGACAGCATGCGTCTCTAGCAGTTATACAAACGGAGAAGGTAATGAGGCTGCAGATAACAGGATAAGCTGCATTTCTCGATCTAGTTGGCTTCTACTGCAACTTGTCTGCTTTACAAGACAACTATTCAGTTTCGCTGGCAATAGTCCATGTCCGGATGCCGACTTGAACCGCACAGCAAGTTGCGTTGACCCTCACAGCTACGCTACACACTGACGTGGAAACTGTCAAGGAGAATAGAATCCAATGTCCAGGGAATACCACGAGAATGTATGGGTGTTCCCAGTGATCCCAGAGTGATCTGTGGAACTGACCAGTATAAAGCGAACCGGACCAGTCGCCGCCTCGTGCGAGTGAGCATAAGCATTTTCATCGGACTGGAACAATTGCGATAAATCTCGGTGGTTGAGTTACAAGGAAGTAACATTTAGGCAAAGTTCGGAACAATACCAGTAGCTATCCTTATGTCCAGCAGCTGCAGCCCCGAAGTAGAACACGTTGCTAAAGTCGCAAAGTCCACGTTTTAGGTGCGATGGCCTGATGAGCTAATTAAGCCAGTTCAAGCATACTCATCAATTGTGTAGAAACCGTGGTAAGTGCCTTCATGATGGTGGTAATCTGAAAGGAGCATAAATCGATCGTATCTGTGTGAATTCATTAGGAACACTATCGGGACTCTCCATGAACTGCCGAGAAATGGACGTGGCGAGCTGACACCACGGGAGACAGATCCATACGGAGATAATTAGATGATAACTGGCCAGTGGATATAACGCTAGTAATTAGAAATGCGAAACTACGAGCAGTTCATTGTCTCACAAAGCAGGGTGGCTGAAGCCGTGCAGACGACGTAAGTGTACCAACGGCTATAACGGTACAAGCGAAAGTTGCAGTGGACTTCCTCAAACTGGCTTTATTAAGGAAGATTGCGCTTATTATGTAAAATTGCGTACCTACACGGATAACGCAAACAGCTGCGCGAGAACATGTGGCATAAATCGGAAGGCGTCGCTCTCACAGCTCCTGGGTCACCAGTGCGTCTAGGTGCTGGGGTGCATGATAAGCAACAAAGGACGCTCAACATAGCTCGAACTTTGCTCAGTTCCAGTGACTAAGTCACGTGAATCACAGGATTCCCCAAAAGCCTGCCTACCTAAGTGACCGTATAAGCAGGACACGAAGTGCTATCGATCCAAAGTTTAAGTCGAGTAAAGATATCAAATACGCCTGGGAATGAGATTGACTTGGTGTGTCAATGTCAGAAGTGTGAGTGCTGAATACTAAGTACAACGCACTCCTTCGTATGTCGGCGTCCACGTGCTATGTCAACTTCCAGCGAAGAGTGTAAACTTCTGAATAGTACTACAAGCGTCTGTGACGTAGCTATGATTCGCGTACTGCACAAAAGGATTTGTTTTCACACCACCGCCCAGATGAATATGATGGAAAACTATTAGCTACCGCTCGATCCCACATAAAGGTACTCAATGGAAGAATAGGAGATCTAGATTTCGCATACCGCACTTCACCTGAATATGTAAGCTATCTCAGATTTAGTCACAGTCCAATTGCTCGAAATCATCCAGGCCTGTTTCACAGTGAATTGCAACCCAGCTACACAGCTGGAAGTTCTACACCCGATAAATGCTGCTTGCGCTTTCGATAATTTACAAGATCTTCCACTGCTACATAACGTTAGTTAGTTGCTGTTTCCATCACTCTACGTTTGGTTGCTAATGGGAACATGCGAAGCACTTACCTTGTGGACACATTAAACTGCTAGTTGTCTAAGTTAGTGTGCTGTTGATGCTGCAAGACGAAAACTAACTGCTCACATGTCAAAAGAACTGCCATATCGACATCAACTTGGACTATCGAAAATGCACTTCAGTGTGATATAGCTGCATATTAATCCAAACAATTGGTCTGCTCATGATCACTCGCCGTTCATCCATATCTCAAGGTCTATCTGTGTGGTTCGCGCTTCCTGTCCCTCAGGAGATGAAATGCTGTTATTGCCGCACAGCACCCGCGCTGCATATCCTCATGAACGAACTTAGACTGCACATTTTGGAGCATAAGCAATGTTAGATCAAACCGCCACCGAGTGTGAGTGATGCCAAGATCCACAATGCGGAACCTGTGGAGAGGTCTACCCAGTGCCGTGATCGCGGTGCTGCCTGTGTCCGAACAACGGTGTGAGGATTGCGCTGGCCCATGAGTGACGAAGATCCGGAGCGTGTAGGTGGATGATGTTCGATGTGCAATGCTTAGACGTTCTTACTAGCGAAAACGTCGGGCGCATTGGTCCGGTGCATAACCCTACGTGATCCCAGACCCAACACAGCTCCGAAGGTCTCAAAGTTTAGAGAATTCCACACTAAATGACCATTCTCCAGCACTGATTTTGTGCCTTCCAGGCTCAAATGGGCGTATTGTGATCCAACCTCATGGTGAATACTTCAAGCAATAAACACTGTGCTAGTAAATGCCGCACTGATTCCACAAGCTCTGGCACAATAGTAAGGCTGGTGAGATTGCCTATATCTTCCACTGAGTCCTTGGTGAACTACTTTAAGGAGAGGACAGAGACTAGTGCCACTTCAGGTAAGCGAAGGTTCAGATGGATGCGTACCACAAAGTTAACCTGCTGAAGCACGCAAGCCTTATCATCCTCACGTAGTTGCTCCGCAGTTATGAATGCGAAGGAAGTGGTTGTTGGAATGCGGCTCTAACAAGTGACTTAAGAATCTTTTGTCTGAATTGGGTTCAGAATTGCGTCCGCAAAAAAGAAGGAAGTGGGGTGTGGCCACCGCGCTTCTTCGACTAGATACAAGCCAGTACGAAAAGACCCCACCAGCAAAGTGCAGAGTGGGCAAATGGAAGAGCAATGAAATGGAAGCAACGGTGTTACCGTCTTTGGCAGTGAAACGATGTGTGCTGTTCGGCTGAATATTGAAAAAGCCTGTGGATAGTGTTACTGTTTGCAAAGATGCTAAACAAACAGTTCTATGAACCGATTAGACTAGAACAGATGGATAGTGTTCATTGAACTGCCTACCGTGTCAGAGTCGGGTGTGAAGGAAATGTGGAGAACGCAAGGCTTAAAACCAGAAACGCACTACGCGTGGATGAAAAAAATAACACCAAAACCTTATATTCTCATCATACCACGTGCACATGTAACGCAATTAAGTTGAACGACCATGGAAGTGTGTGATCGTGGTGATCCGCATCGATATCTGACGGGAAGATGGTATGAAGCTTGGCCCACAGCATCTAACTTATTCGACTTGGGAGAGAGAAGACTGTAACCACGAGTGATCATGAATTTCGGTCAGATCATCTCGATACAGATCTCAAGCTTTTCGAATTAGGTAGCAACCTAACATATCTCAATTCATTGTGCAAAAGGAATGCAAGAGCACGCACCATATTCTGCATCCGCGTGACCAATGCACGCAAAACGCGTGGTGAAAGAAGTGGGAGACACGTGCGTGGGCTTAGCACAAACCAAGGATGTGACATGACTTGAGGAAACCAAAAAGGAACAATGATGTCTGATGCCGTGAAAAATCAGACATGGGAACGGCAGATTGCATACATAGCAAACGGTGAAGGACCAAAACCATAAAACGTACGAGTGAGCATGAAGGCATTCTCGGTGGTAACGGAATAGAATTAAGACTAGTCCAGTCAGAAAAATAGTTTACTTTGGGGAAATGCACAGAAATAAATCCTAATCGCGCTTGAAAACAAAAGTGTCGAGACGATCGGGTTTCGAGCAAGTAGCAAATAAAACCTGGTCATGAAAACAGAATACATCTTAGCGATTGCTGAGTGCCAGGTGTTATCAGGGTTACGAGTTACACACTACTCACTGTACACAATTGAGATGGACCTACATGCAGACCAGAGGGGTTTAACAACTCTCCTTCATCCCGAATGATGGTATGCCCAGGGTGAGTGTTGGTACTAGCTTCATTGCGTCGCCTCCGCACGCAAACGGTATTGAATGATGGGTAAGTCTTGGTGAAAGGCTTCCCGGTGCTTCTGACCGGTTTGCGAAGTAACAACAGCGATCCAAACGTAATGATCAGCGTCCCAACTAAGGCGATCCAACCGCACACAAACCAAAAACCGTTTAGCACGTTCACAACACCCCCGCATATGGCATCATTCAAGTCCTTTGCAGCCTCATAAAGTCGCCGACAACGTCCGACTTCAGCCATTATTCTGGGTCCAAATTTCGCAATTAGCTTGACCACCTCACCCGGAGTTACAGCAGAAATGTGTTTCTCGAATAACTTGTCTGCCAGTTCTGTTAAAGCAGGCTTGTTTGTCATAAGTTCCTTCAACCTTGCCAAGACGGATTTCAACTGTAACACAACGGGTCCGATCTTTTTGGCTGTGGAAAGGTTTTTCAAATGATCACTCATAGTCTCAACTACGGCCACTAGGTTGCGTAATCTGAGGTCAACTTGTTGAGTTGCTGAAACGAGACGAGCGTTTTGGTCCCTGGAAAGACGGTGTTGGAGGATATCGGTGTAGTAGGAATTCCAAGAGACCCACAATTCAGTTTGTGAGAAAGGTCGGTAGTCATTGGATCCATTTTCGGAGTCATATACGCTCACATATGTGGTAGGCAGACGAGCACGAATGCCATCAAAATCGACGATAAAATCATCCAGTCTACCTGCCAATGATAATTGCTCATCGGTTTCCCTGGGAAACATTTCTTCTGCGTCGAGAGACTTCAAAGAATCTATCATGATTTCCCGTCCAGTGTTCACGAATCGCTTTGACATCTCAGGATCGTTTAGGCTGGTCATGTCAAGATCGGTAATGGCGTCAGTCGCTTCCAAGATACCCATATTCTTCCGACAGTTATGCGATAGGGCATAGATAGGACTGCGCACATGGGGAACCGGTAGCGGTCGAGTCCCTAATGGATTGTTCTGTGCAACCAAGTAGAGTATGAATGGCCAGTGCTGGGTGATAAATGCATTAATATGAGAATCTAGTGGAAAATGATGTTTGGTGTATGCTTCCTTAAATCCTTCATGTTTTACAACCGTCACCCGCGTCTGCTCTGGATCTATGTATCTGCATGCCTCGGTGTAAAGGTAACCTCCAACAAGAAAAAAGGCTGTAGCAAAGAGCAAACTCGTGAGTAAAAGAACAAGGCCAAAGCCACTTGCCGTTCGAAGTCTATGCCGATTCCGAGGACCCAACTCACTGGGTACACAGTGATAATAGATGACAATCCAAGTTACACCAAGAGTGAATAAGAGCAAAACTATCCAAAATATGCAGCCTAGAGCAAGAATGACAACTGAGCCAGATAACACCTTGGGAACAACAAACTCGGTCACTTTGGATGCTGCATTATCCACCGCCTGAATCGCCCAAGACATTTGGGAGTCCAGCACGTCCCACTGCCGAGATGTCATCTTAAGAATCGTGTTAGGGATATCGATTCGCTCCGACATTATCCTTTTGGTCTCCATCAGCCGATGCGAAGCAAGGACTTTTCCGCGATTTAACTGCTCACGAATGTTCGCCGCAGTTTGATTCTGATCAGTAGTCACAAACTTCAGAGCAATTGCAAAGCTGAAGACGGGCATGAAGGTATCAGGTCGGGTAGTCAAATTGTTGGTGAAAGTAGCCCGGAGGGAGAGGCAACGGGAATCGCAATCAGGGTCATTGACACCGGGGCCGTACGAATTGATCAGACGAAGCCAAGCCTGCAGCTCGACTTTTAACCGATCAAAATGGTTCTTGAAAATTGCATCCTGATTCACAATGGCCATGGAATGTTCAACTAAGGAAATCACATTGCGACCCAAGAAATCGCCCAATTCAAAGGCTTCTGTAGCTCCAATTTTCTCAAACAGTAGTGAGTTGAAATCAGCCGTCATTCGTTCTTGCATTTGCTCAGTGGCGCTGATTAGTTCGTCAACAATGGGGGCCGTATGAGTGCGGGTGATATTTACAAATTCATTGAAGTAGGCACGTACCTGGGCCAGAGCTCTTAAAACCCGCGGGAACACATGAGTTTTTTGGGGATTGGTGTGTTCCAGCTCTGCTGAGTTCAGCAGCCTCCCTACTGCCTCTTCATACGCGGGTGGAGATGATAGGTTCACTTGTAATTGGCTGCTCATCGAAAAACCTAACAAAACTGCTGCGCCAAGCAACACAATGAGGATAATGAAAAAGAGGAACTGCGTAGCTAACCACAGCCAGTTCGATTGTAACCGTTCACGTTGCATGCGCAACAGCCCAGTGCCAGAAGCACGCGAAGTATGCATAGTAGTCAGGTCTCTGGACGCATCTGTCAAGAGGGCTATTCGCGCAGAACGCTTCGTTTTGTGTCTACGACGGCAGCACACAAATAAAGTTGCAGATACCAGTGAGATACTCCAAATGGCACTGAACGATATGGCTGAGGCGTAGCCAGCGCGGGAGTAAGTGGAGAGCACATGTTCTGTCACACTACGTTTCTGTTCTGCGCTAGCATTAGCTCCGGTAGGAGATGGAAGTGGGAGGAAATATTCCAGAAAGAACATAAACAGTCCACCGTCCAGGCTCGGTTGCGTCCTACCCACTATGCTTGTGGCAGCAGCAAACAACGTCTCCATCGCATTGTGACTGCATCAGCGCCCCGGTTATGGTGACCACCAAAGTGCTCCACTCTCATTGGCTTATCGGCCCACAAGCATGGACCCAATCACGGTCGCTGAAGTGCCTGTTCGCATCGGTGGTTGACTGACAGGTAGTTAGGGGTGAGTCAGACAGGCCGATTGGTCGAGCACTCCAGGACACGAATTACCGGTTCCTGCACCTTTCAGTCAACCGGCCATTTCTCGTAGTTGTCGTCCTCCGAATATCCGTCTCAGTTGCTGGGCCATGTACGTAAGTGGTGGGCGAATGAGATGGCAAGAAAGAACGCACAATTGATTGACTCGAGCGCGGGCCAGTTAGCACATGAAGATTAAGAGGTTAGGCAGCAAGCGCTTTAGCGAAGCCCCGTCAAGCGACCATCTCAAACACTCCTTCCACAGAACATCCAACTTAGTAAGTTTGTCCTAACGCGTCGTTCCACGTATCGGATAAGTTTTTACAATCACTGCATTTTTCGAACGAATAGCGGTAACGCTCTTTCTGGATAATGTGGGGTGTGGATGCAACATAACTACTTTCCTTCATTATGTTGTCTCAGAGGCAGTTTCAGTTTGGAATGACTTTAATAATACGACTAAGAAATGTTGCTAAACCGGACATACAATCTTACTGAGCAAAGCGAGTAGAGCCAGTAACGCACTTCGTAAAAAAAGCACCTCCAGTTTTGCTCACACACATACCACCAGTCTTGTTCGGACACTCTTTAGATGACCAAAGTCGGAAACCAAAATCGTTACCTCGCGATTTATACTCGATATCTTTACACCGCTCTACCGATGTTATAATGATTGAACTGAACACGAGAACAGTCGGTTGGGCTTAAGTTACAAGTATGTTATAAAAAAGTTATAGTAAACTCGAACATACTTTTCAACCTTCTGACTCCTGACCTCTACTCCTAAAAGTTTTCAATTGTTTTTATGCCAAAGTACAAACATTCGTAATGGTATGGATCTGACTCTTCCTGGGATCAGATTATCGTAAACTTGCGAAACATGTTACTCATAACTATTTATTTTTTTCTAGTGACTGCGAGTTCGAGGCTGAGGTCTGAAACATACAGAATGGCTGTGGATTACAAATATACTAGCCACTGAATCGCGAGTTGCTGCGAAACAGATCTCAATCAATACAATAACTGAGCCAACCTAAACCTGGCATCAGTTACACGTGCAGGTGAAGTGATAACATATAATTCCATCCGGTTGCTTAATGCAGAAAGGTACGGGGTTCAGTCGTTTTACATCACGTTCATCTAGGAGGCTTTGCGGAAAAATACTAATTTTGGTACCCGAACCGAAGTGGACGTGAAACTCAGCTACCTCGCAGCAGTCTGTGATAGCGTGCCGAGATCTTCGATACAAGTTAACATTGCACAAGGATGCCGGCAAACGGAAGTATGCATTGTGGCATTCACCATCCCCTCTTCTGACGTTGATGCACCTAGTCAATATCATTACCGAGTGAATGTGATATCTTTACCCGACACTTAATTAGAATCGACAGTTTTTAATGTCCCATTTCTACTGGAGCTTTGGTGGGAACTTAACATGCTTTCCATCATGATGCTCGTGTCAACAGCTTCAATGATCGATCAACAGTTACCGTTGTTTTCAAATTTTCTGTCGTTGTAGGTCACTGCCAATGTGTCTTCGCAGGTTCATCGCTGACTGCACTTTGGTGAGCAAAGCTGGGCAACGTGTTGTACTCTGTTGACCGCGTTCTTCGACCCACATGATCACAGCGATGATAATGGTGTTTAAAACAGTTAGTTCCCTTCAATAATTTGAATAACACAGGGAGAAGACGAACGCTGAGCGGGTTTTGAATTCTAGATTGAAGGAGCATTTACCCAACTGGGTTCAGCTTGAGGCCAGCCATGCGTCACTCAATATTCCGTGCGCATGCAGGCCGCCAGCAACATCAATCGACAGACGCGTGTTGTTGACCCGTCCTCAGATTGACCCCGGCTCCGCGTTTCGGATATTATTATCTTACCCCAATCTCCAATTCATGCTTTTTGCGGCTTGCCGAGGCAGTGGTGATAAGCCAGCTAAGACCTGCCCTGTGTGTGTGTGTGTGTGTGTGTGTGTGTGTGTGTGTGTGTGTGTGTGTGTGTGTGTGTGTGTGTGTGTGTGTGTGCAGAAACAGTGGTTGTGCTTCGGTTGCCCTGGTCCTAAGACCATCGCCACCATTCATCTCACTGCATTTGTTTGCTTGGCAACACCCTTTGAATGGTATAAGATAATTTCTGGTTATTGTTTTGGTACTGAGGAGACGATAATGGGATTATCGAGAACTGCCCCAGTTTGGGACCGGCAAGTAGAGCAACGCTTCCTCGGTTCAGAGTACTGCAGGCTGTAAATCTCTTGATTTATTAGCCAAAGCTAACTAATGGTTTCTTGTCGATGAATTCAGTAATGCTGAGCACCCTATGCAGTTAATCTCTGGTGTGCTGTCGCATGTTTAAGGTATTATTCCCCTGTTCTACCCCTCAAATTCCTTGACTCCGAAGGTGTGGAGAAAACAAAGAGGGAAATATTGACAAGACACTATTAAAGCGTTACCAGGACACCAAACGACAGTTTTCGTAAGCTTTTTCTCCGTGATGACACCGATTCACGGTGCTTCCACTAATACACACTATACCAGTTAGCTGGAGCAAAGTTGTCGCCTTAAAACTGGGGGGCAATACCCATGTTTACCCGAAAGCCAACGAAGTGACTACTAGCCAACTCCGCCAGAAACGACCAAATGCAGGCACTAGCACACATTTCCGCACAACCTTATGTTATCTTGCCAGCTGACTGTTCACGCACGCACAACCGCAGGAAGAACACGAAAGGGAGCCGGGACCGAGTATATCTACACGAGTAATCTGCTCATTTCATTAGGGTACAGCGGTAGTTGAAGCCAGGCTGCTAAAACACATTGGAACCAACCATCAACGTAGGAGACACAGAATAATGTAGGCGAATAAGAAGTGGTAGACGCAAGCACCGACCAGGCGAGTTTGAACAAGCGGAAACAGACCTCTGAGATGACATCCATTTCGAACGACGTGGGTCGTCTAATCAAGGCAACTAATTGATCCATTTAAACCAATGTCAGGAAGCCAACGGTAGCGCATCACAAGCAGGTAACTAAGAATTGTGACAACCAAATGTGTCCACTTCTCAAACTCCTAACACCTCACATGGTTTCCGTCCCCATCTCCTCTGAAGTTGTGTGACAATGTCCGCCAAGTGTTTGATCACGCCGGGTCCCGTTCATAGTTGCTCTTTGCACAGTTAGGGTTACAGACCCCAGGGAATATGCGATGAAGATGCACTTATTTGCATAGAAATCAGTCTTATTGCCTACCTCACTAGTAATCTATAGTAACCATTGTTAAAAGGTCAGGTCTAAACTCGATGGTCAAATTTGTGGTACAGCAGCTTACATTTTCGACTTGTATGCTTGCCTTCAAATAGTATGCACAGCCTTGGTATGACTACCATGTTGTAGTGACGCGGAAGTCAATGATCACAGGCGGAAAGGACAAGCCGCAAAAACTGAGGAAAAAGAAAACTAAGGAGGGCACCAGAGAAAAAAGGTCGACAAAGCAGTTCGAGGCGCACGGAATAAGCCGGAAATGGTCCATGAGCGACAAAACATATCAGGCCCAGGCAGAGAAGAGCGGGGACGTAGTAGTGGAGGGCGCGATTTTCCGGAGAGTTACGCCTTTGGCCACGCCTCCAGGAATAATCTTGAGAGCAAAGCAACCCGATTAAATAAGTCAAGCGCATTAGAACCAATGCAGCAGGGTCAGGAAACACCAAGAAGAAGCGAACAAGCGTGGCAAATAGATGAAAAAGAACCTCATTGTTTGACCGAAATAGGGGCATGGATGTGACAGCGAGCGAAAGCACGATGGGTTCCGCTTGGTGAACTGGAAATGTCCCCTATACCTTCGCGCGTGCGTACTAGCTTGTGAATCCTCTGTTCGTTAGTACTAAAGACTGTGCAACACTACTGCCTCGTTTTAGCTGCAAGATTGTAGCGAAAACGACGCGGGGGGGCAGTGCATGTATGGCCACAAGAACGTGCCGATGACAACTCACAAACCTGCACAGATTTGGATCTCATTTCCTTCCCACGAGGCAACGCGGATGAGGATTTGTGTGACGGGCCATTCCATGCGCCTTCGAGTTTGAGCTTCGAGACAACCCCTCCAGGTATTCATTCCGTATCTCCGCTTAGCTGTATCCGATTTTGGTCAGCAATGAGTCGTTCGAAAGCTGACGATTTGCTCTCACGCGGCTGAATCACTCGACCCGCGTTCACTCTGGTTGGCTTCAATAGTAGCGTATTTGTCTGATTCATTGCCTTCTCGACAAATACCCCATTCATTGTTTTGGGCCCAGACTCGTTACCAGATGCCGCCCGTGATCAGCCGTTGCCTTGATCCCCAACGCTTGCAGAGCCTTGTCTCGTCTCATCCATTGCGCCCGTCGTTACTTCTCTACAATTCCGATTTTGTTATCGTTCCGGTTCACGAGTAGGCACTGGCTTCCGCCGCCCTACAATATGACTCAGGAAAAGGAACATTCTGTTTACCCAAGTTTTGCATTATACCCATTTCCACTTCCACAGTCTTCATAACTGCGACCATCCTGATTTGTGATTCGATAAAATGTTTGTGATAGCATACCCTTAATGGCGGCTTTGTATCAAGTGCACAGATATCTCCTAATTCGTCCAAGCGGATTAGTATCTTCTCCAGCCTCGGATCACGGGGTCTACATCTGGGTTACTCGGAAGTTCCTGCTAGCGCCATCGGTAATTTTGCTTCGATGTATAAGACTTATAGAACTTTCTCGGTTTTTCCTTGGTAAGGCCACCATGCTGTCCAAGATTTGTGAAGAAAGACCTTAAATTCTAAAGTCATTTGGCCTTTTAATGCAGTCAGGTGCGAAGTTGTGTTGGCCCCTTTCACGATGTA